ATCGGTACACTTGGGGCTACAACTATAGGTTATATTACTGTCTGTACACTGGAGGCTACAACTATAGGATATACTATAGGATATACTACTGTCTGTACACTGGGGGCTACAACTATAGGTTATACTACTGTCTGTACACTTACACTTGGGGCTATAGGTTATAACACTGTCTGTACACTGGGGGCTACAACTATAGGTTATATTACTGTCTGTACACTGGGGGCTATATCTATAGGATATACTACTGTCTGTACACTGGGGCCTACAACTATAGGTTACACTATTGTCTGTACACTGGGGACTACAACTATAGGTTATACTACTGTCTGTACACTTGGGGCTACAACTATAGGTTATACTACTGTCTGTACATTTGAACTACAACTATAGGATATACTACTGTCTGTACACTGGGGCTACAACTATAGGTTATACTACTGTCTGTACATTTGAACTACAACTATAGGATATACTACTGTCTGTACACTGGGGGCTACAACTATAGGTTATACTACTTTCTGTACAGTAGGGCCTACAACTATAGGTTATACTACTGTCTGTACACTGGGGCTATAACTATAGGATATACTACTGTCTGTACACTGGGACTACAACTATAGGATATACTACTGTCTGTACATTTGAACTACAACTATAGGATATACTACTTTCTGTACACTGGGGGCTACAACTATAGGTTATAGTACTGTCTGTACACTTGGGGCTACAACTATAGGTTATGCTACTGTCTGTACACTGAGGGCTACAACTATAGGATATACTACTGTCTGTACACTGAGGGCTACAACTATAGGATATACTACTGTCTGTACACTGGGACTACAACTATAGGATATACTACTGTCTGTACACTGGGGCTACAACTATAGGTTATACTACTGTCTGTACACTGGGGGCTACAACTGTAGGTTATACGCCTGTCTGTACACTGGGGCTACAACTATAGGCTATACTACTGTCTGTACACTGGGGCTACAACTATAGGTTATACTACTGTCTGTACATTGGGGGCTACAACTATAGG